TGAAAAGTGAGATAAACTGAAGGGATTTTGAAAATAAGAATAAAGTGGGAGGAATCATTCTGCTCAATTTTAAGATTTAGGACCATAATAATCAAGACTGTGGGGTTTGGTGGAAGGACAGTCACGGAGATTATGGAACAGAAAAGAGAAATGAGAAAGAGGCCCACACAAGTAATGCCCCACTAATTTCTGAGAAAGGTATAAAGGCAATGTTGTGGGGAAGGACAGGCCTTCCAAGAAGTGGTGCTGGAGCAAATGGACTTCAGGTGAACCTCTACCTCACACCCATACAAACTTCAACTCAAGACCAATCCTGGACCTGGGCATGCTGGTACACGCCTGTAATCCCAGAGACTCTGGAGGCTGAGGCAGCAAGATCACAAATTCAAGGCCAGCCTCAGCAGCTTAGCAAGGCCCTACCTTGCAGGAAGCCACTCATAAAACGTGTGAGGACCTTTTCAGCATTGAAGCCAATGAGGGAGCAGAGCTGGCATTTGGGAACTTATAGTGGCACTCCCACTATTAAGATCACCCATTACATGTGAACTCCCCCTCAGTTCTGTCAAGAGGTCCCATGCAGCACCAGAGATAGGCGTGACCCTTTAGGAACTGAGCAGCCTACCTTCCCCCACCTCTATTCAGTTTTGGTGAAGAACTTTCTATTGAACCTCTTTGATCTGTTCCCATATAAATAAACTGGGCACGGGCTCTGTTTTTTGTCAGAAGCTATACCCATCTGGTCAGCTTGGCCCATCGCTGACCCCACTCTGAAACTATATTTCTGTGTCCTGTGGTTATTTAGTAGTACTACTTTTCTTAGCTTATATTTCTCAGCCAGCCCATCCCTCTGGAGAGGAGCCCTTTCCTTGGCCCGTGAGACAGGAGCGAGACTGTTTCAAAATGCAAAATAATCTTTAAAAAAGGGCTGGGCCGCAGGGGCTCAGGAGGCTGAGGCAGGAGGATTGAGAGTTCAAAGTTAGCCTCAGCAAAAGTGAGGTGCTAAGCAACTCAGTGAGACCCTGTCTCTAAATAAAATGCAAAATTGGGCTGGGGATGTGGCTCAGTGATCGAGTGCCCCTGAGTTCAATTTCTAGTACCAAAAAACAAACAAACAAACAAACAAACAAAAAACTACACACACAGCTAGCATATGACTCATAATTGTACTTCCATGTACTTATGCCACAGAAATAGCTTGTTTTCATAAAAAAGCCTGTACATCAATGTTCATAGAAGCTTCACAGGTAACGATCAAAATCTACAATCAAGCTAAGCATCCTTCAGTGGGTAAATGGTTAAACAAAGGGTGGAACATCCACACTGTGGAATATACACAGCAACAAAAGGGACCAAACTATTGATTCACACAACTTGGCTGTGTCTCCAGAGAATTAGTAGAAAAAGCCACTTCTGGGGGTCGGGGGGGGGCCTGGGGTTGTGGCTCAGCAGTAGAGCACTGGCCTAGCATGTGAGAGGCCCTGGGTTCGATCCTCAGCACCACATAAAAATAAATAAATAAAGTGAAGATATTGTGTCCAACTACAACAAAAAAAAAGTGAAAAAAGAAAAAAACACTTCTCAAAGTGACATACTATAAAATTCCATTTATGTAACATTCTTGAAATGATAAATTAGAGAAATGGAGAATAGCTCAGTGGTTGCCAGGGGTTAGGGACATGAGGGGTGGGTGGGTGGGAGGGAAATAGGTGCAGTTATAAAAGAACAAGAGAGTTGGGGTCCTTGTGATGGACTTGCTTTGAATCTTTTTTTTTTTTAAAGAGAATTTTAATATTTTTTTTTTTTTTAGTTTTTGGCAGACACAACATCTTTGTTTGTATGTGGTGCTGAGGATTGAACCCGGGCCGCACGCAAGCCAGGCAAGCGCGCTACCGCTTGAGCCACATCCCCAGGCCCTTGCTTTGAATCTTGATTGTACCAGTGTTGATATTGAAATTATGACTACAGTTTTGTAAGATGTTGCTTTTGGAGGAAACTGAGTAAAGCTTCCATGAGATCTCTGTAGTATTTCTTACAACTGTATGTGAATGTGCACTTAAAAAGTTGACCTTTAAATATATTTGTAACCAAAATGACATTTGGTTCAAGAACCTGCCTTCACTTCATGGTGTGCATTAAAAAATGGTGGGCAAATCATTGGAGCCACTGCTACCTAGAGAAGGGCAAGTTTGAGTGTGAAAAACAGTAGCTTGTTTTTTAGGATAATAAAAAGTATACTCTAAAGTGACTATTGATGAATTTTTCTGGAGCATTGGGCAGGAGATCTTTTGAGCACACGTTTTGCAGTCCAACCCTTAGTGCAATGTCCAACATCCATCCAAATGGTGCCCCACAAAATGTTGGTGGAACTGCTGTGTCTTGGACTCCTGTCTACCATTATCTGCAGTTGAACTGAGTGTAAAGGTGCCTAAGGAAGAACATGTCCTGAAGCTACAGGAACAGATGTTTGACATTTTTTTTTCCTTCTCCTTTTTTTCTTGCCTCTCATCCTTCCCACTTCCTTTCTTCTCCCCCTCTCTCAAATACAGATTGGAATTTGCATGTATGGCAGCTCTCAGCCACAAGATGGCAGGAGGGGACCAGCAAATTCTGGCAAAGACCTGCCCTGCTCTACCTCGAAGAAAACACAATCTGCCAGCACCTGGCCAGTTTGCTCTTCTCAGTAGGTTACTATGTAGAGAAACGTTGTTTTTTTTTTTCTTTTCCCTGGAGTTTCCTCTAAAACAATAAGAGGTGTTGGCAAAAGCAAGTAGATGTTGGGATGTTTGATAGTGAAGGAAGGGGTATCTTGATTCTGCCTCTTCCTCTCTCCCTTTGTCTCTGCTCTGCTGGCAAAAGCCAGGCTCTGATCTGACCTGCCTCACTGTGATACAGAGAGCAAGGGGTGAGTACAACGCCCAGAGTACTGCAGACTGAGGGGTTTTTCTAGGAAGATTGATGGTGTGTCTGAGCCCCAGCCCCACTCCCAACCTCCTGGGCACACATGAGATACCTGGTATCCCCGTGGCTGCGGACCTTGGAGTAACGTCTAAACGCACTTCTACTTCTGACACCATTTTTCCAGTGAAGTAGGACAGCAACACCAACTGAGTTACATTCTGAAAAAGTTGCCCCATGACAGGTGCAAGAGGCAGTAAAGGCCTTTCTTTCAGGATTCTGGGAGGAACAGAGGTGGAATTAGGAGATATAGCTGAGATCTCAGCCTTGTTCTGACCAAGCCTGACCCTCTCCAACTTGCTCTCTCATCTGGAAATAGGGGTGGGCCTCACAGGCTCAGTAGAGGTGAGGGGCAAGTATTCATTCTGACCTGAAGAGACTTTTACATCATCAAGTGGAAGTGAGAGACTTTCTTCCAAATTCTTTGTGTTGAATTTCACCTTCTTCTGAGGGTATCTGAGTGTTGCAGTAGAACCTTCTGGGAGCTGCCCATCTCTGGCCAGCTGAAAGCCAGTTTGGGCTGCTTTCTCCTTTAGTGAGTAATTTCATCCTCTCTCACATATATCCTTAGTATTCCTTGGCAACTTGAGCTGTGAGATGAGCAAAGTAACTGGGGCCCTGTAGGTGTTTTCTTAGAATTAGAGGAGATTCTTCTTGAGACTTGACTGAAGGCCTTTCTGTTCTTATCCTGTCCCTCCCAAAACCTCACACAAGGCCACTGGGAGTAAAAATGAAAATGAACTGTAGGACACACTACTTACTCGGATGAAAGTACTGGAGAAGGAGGCAGAGGGTTCAGATCTCAACTAGGAGTTTTCTCAAGGAATCTGGTGCTTTGGGTTCAGGCCCAATCTGTACCCATAGCCTCCCCTAGACTATTGGGCAAAGTAGACAAGCTGGCTTAAAAACTTGGCCTTCTTTAGTATTTTCTCAGGAGAAAGTCTGGAGGCTCAAATAAAGGGAACTTGGGACAGAGAATGAAAGTGAAGATACATCAGGGTACCGAATGACTCTGGGACAAGGGAGGTGCTGGTGGAGGCCTGCTGTGGAAGGAGAAGGCTGCCATCAATGTGCAGCCCAGCTGCTGGCTGGCTGGTGGAGAAGCTGATAACTCCCACTGTGTGGCTGAATGTACACAGGGACATCCTGAAAACATGCCATTTTGTGACAACCGCAGCTGGCTGTAGCAAGAATAGGGAAACCACAGTAAAGGAGTTAATGATGATCCACAGTGACCCCTGTAGAGATGGATGTCAGACAGCATCCAGGATGCTTCTAAGAAGTCTGGCAGTGGCCAGGGGTACAGGGAGTCTTAGGATACTATTTGACTCAGGTTGCAGGGTAGACCAATCCACCCTGGTTAACTACAGATTTTGTCACACAGGCAAAACAATGGTACAAATACTAACTGAGGCCTCCATTGGCAGGCCCAAGTTTCACCTCCCAAGATAGTGCTAAAATTTTATCCTTTCAGGAGAAAAATCCTCCAACCTTGAGCCTCATCCTTAAGACAACTAAATTTTCAGCAACTATTGAATTTTTCAAAGTTATACAAGATTAAAATGAGGGAGGTGATGCTGGTTATAAAACCCAGAATGAATGTTAAGAACTTTATTATGTAGCACATCTCTTATTAAAAAGGGATGTTTAATTCCCAAACTGAATCCTTCCTATGACAACAGTTACAGGCCGATGAAGCAGAGTGCAAAGATGTCAAGCCCATTATCCACTAAGGCAGAATTTCCTTGCTGTGGAGAAAGTGTCGGCATTTTTCCTCAGCCTCATCCCCAAGGAAAAGGAAGCCAGGGGTACAGGAATGGGGATAATCAACAGTCAGATAAAATATATCTACTGGTATTTTTTGTCAAATCTTTGTGATGTGAAGGCCCTCTTTGACATTAAAAGGTACCCACACTCTTCCCAAACTTACGGTTCTACTTTTGTGTGTGTGTGTTTCTACTTTATCATACATTGGCAGAGAAAAATTCCATGACAACATATTTTTAAAGGCCCCTAGGTACCATTCAAAAATACTAACACAGGGGTTCACAAGATACTGTTTTTTATTTCAGGCAATGTTTAGAGGACATTGGCAGGCTGTGACAGCTCCAATCAACCCAGAAGGAAAAAAAGCTGACGTATGCCTTCCCCTAAGAAGTCTTCCATTTTTAAAATGGGCCTACACAGGTCTTAATGTCACAGCCTTGACATTAGCACCCCACTGGGCCACTGAGATGTTCTAGGGGAAGCAGGCTATGATTTGATCTTGGAAGTCCCCTCCCCACAGAGTCACCTCTGGAAGGCTTGCTAAATAACTGAGGAAGAAGAGGATTGTGATTGGTTTGGCAGCCTGACATGCCACCAGCTACTGTAGTGAGCCCTGGTGGGGACTGGGAGAGGGGAAAGGGGGCAGAAGTGAGATAATGGGCCCACTCTCCTACCTTAGGACCTCAATTCCATCTCTCCCTGCTCCTTGAGAAATACAAGCTTTGTAGACAGAAACAGCCTGAAGGAATCCATCCAGCACTTTGAAAACCAGATTTCATCTCTCTATCTAGAAATTAGTCCTCTTCCCCTGGATAACTTAGAGGGAAGTAGTAAAGAAAAAATAAATCAGCAGTCTGATCTACCTTCCAAGCCCAGCCAGGGACCAGACTAAGGTTAGTCAGAGAGGAAGTGTCTGTTTCCTACCCGAACCACCCCCCCCACACACACACACAGACTAACAAACAGTCCAAGGCTTCTTTTTAGGAGGGAGCTGTCATGTGAGCGAGAGAGGGCACCTGACTAATCACAGGCAGTTGAACAAAGAAAAATTTGTATTTTATACTTGAGGTATGTGGTCGTAACTATGGGAAGAAAATGTAAGTAGGACATATCCATAACAAATCACAGGTTACCAGGAAGTTTAGCAGAACCCAGAGCTGGGCCCAGATAAAGAAAATGAGATCTTCCTGATGAGTACCTCTAAATCACGAAGAAAAACCAACAGAAAGCGGTCGCCTCATAGCAATGCCAGCTCAGCAGAAATGATGGTCCCCCAGAGCAGTAGATTCTCCAGGATGAGAAGCCAAATGAGTCTAGTAACTTCGTTAAAATATCTTCTCTCCTTTGCACTCAGGAGCACTTGGCAGCTTTTATCAGGGCCATAATTACATTAGGTACCTGCAAAAGGCTTCAATAAAATTAATGTAATTTTCGATAGCTCCAATGATTTGCTGATTCCATGAAAGGTCAGAGCCTGCTACCATTGGCACTCTCTGTGGACAGGGACTTCACTGTGGTCTGTACCCAGAAATATCACAGGTATGAGGATATTCCATGGATCAGTCCCTCACTCTCGCCTTTCCTTCCTTTCACATGTACTCAGTGCCGGCTATATGCTGGAGATTACAAAGACTAGTTAGACACAATCCCTGGCCTCACTGAGCTTCCAGTCTGGTAGGAAAACAGCAAAGATGGCCCTTCCCAAAAAAGACCTAAATGTAGTGGTTAGAAATAGCTACACCTTGAAGAAAAAGGAACACCCACAAATGTGTAAACATAGGAACATAAAACAGCTCTACGGTGTCTTATCCATCAATGGTAGGGGCAAGGAGTCTTGTTTATAAATGGGAACACACAGAAGGTGTTTGATAAGGTTTTTTTTTTTTTTGTAATTTTTATTTTTAGTTGTAGATGGACATAATAACTTTATTAATTTATTTTTAGGTGGTGCTGAGGATCAAACCTAGTGCCTCACATGTGCTAGGCAAGAGCTTTACCACTGAACCACAGCCCCAGCCCATTGGTAAGTTCTTGTTGAAGAAATTAGCTAAGCCACAGATGAATGCTAGCACTGGCTTCTGTGCTCCTCAGGTTCCACCTTTCTAGTCAATGGAGAAGCAAACCGAGACTCAGAAAGGTCAAGAGTGTTGGGTGAGTAAAGATTAGAAGCAGAGTACAAGACAACAGCCATTTCTGTCATCTGGCTCTCTCTCCCCGCTGATGCCTGACCTGGGCCTTCAATAATGCTTTTTTTAAAAAAGAATTAAGATGTGAACTTTTCCTTCCCAGGCTCCATATATTTTTTTTAAAAATACTTTTAGTTGTAGATGGACACGACATCTTTATTTTATTTAGTATTTTTTATATGGTGCTGGAGATTGAACCCAGTGCCTCATGCACACTAGGCATGCATACTAGTGGCGCCACTGAGCCACAACCCCAGCCCTTCATATATCTTAATTCAGCCTTTGCCCTCAAGTAGCTCAGAGTAAGAGAGGGAAGATCCTACTGCCCTAGGACCTAGGGAAGCCCCAAGGCTGAGGCTGAAAGAGAAGTGGGTTTCCAAGCAGTAAATGAAATCAGGTAAAGTAGTTAAAGGAGGGTTTAGAAGAAACCCCGCATAAGAAGAGAAACGTGTTTGTTATGTTGGTGCAGCATGGTCCTTCTGTGATCACAACATTAAGGACTTCTAGAAGAAATTTTCCAAGCCGCCTAATGTTCTCATTTTCTGAGTATGTCAAATGCAGAAGTTAAGCAACAGCCATATATGAATTTTGACAAGGCCAATTTAAATATCAGCCTACACACTGTGAAAAAGTAGAGAGGGATTAACTTAAAACACATTTGAACAAATTAATTTTTTTTTTTTTTTTTACTTTTGAGAAAGGAATACAATTCCAGTTATTCACTTGGGGATCACTTATTTTGGAACAAACATTTTGTTGATAGTATCAACAAAATGGGTAGAGTGGGGTGCCAAAATGGCCACCTCTTTCAGAACGGCTCTCTCATTCAGAATTGGCCTCCCAGAATTCTTTTGCCAGAGCTTTCCCCCAAAATCAGTCTGATTGTTTATGTAGCAGGTAAAGGAATAGGAAGTTGACTGTGTCACTTAACCCAGAGTTATCAGATGTGGGGGACTGCCAACCTGCCACCAGTGGTTCTGAGGTCACTGATCTTTCCATTAAGCCCTTCTCTCTGTTGCTGTCTACCAGAGAAAGGCCAGCCTGTTTAGGCCACAACCCCTCTTCTTTCTAGACGCCTTATATATTCACATGGACCCTTTTGGTCATAATTGTCATGACAACCTACTCCCTCTTCAGCAACATATTTTTATTGCACAACAAGTAGAAAGAAAGGGCCATCTCTTCTTTTTATTGGTAGGCAAAATCCCCACAAATTCCAAGAGGAGTTTCACTCTCTGTGGCAAGCAGGAAGACTTGACCCAAATTAACTAGATTTGGTGGGTTCCCTCAACAGGCCAAGGGGCACCAAGGATTACGTTCAATTTGGAATTATTCATTTGACTTCATTATTCCTTTCAAATATAAGGCTTTTACAAAAAGTTATTTCAGATGTTTAAAACAGGCCTTCAGATGATCCACTTGAGCAGTGGAACTGCAAAAGGACTCAGCTGTGTGAGCTTGTGAGGGTCAGGTGTTAGGCTGTCATCGGACAACTCCTGTTTGGAAGCCTTGACACTTCCTCCTCACGTGTCTCCCTTTGTGATTCTGTCACCCATTTTGGAGGCTTCAGCTGTCTCTCCAGAAACGAGCACAAGAGGGCCAAGAGACATGATATTAAAGGGAGTAGGGAAGGAGTGAGGGGGAGTCCTTTCTAACACCCGAAGAGCTACCTTCTGAGCAGAGTAAATCCAACTGCAGACCAGGAAGAGTTTTGAGGCCTGACACCTTGAACGCCACCTCTTAGGGTGGGTAGGGAAGGACACACAAAACCTGTCCCATTAACACTCCAGGACCCTTTCTTCGGTGGGCCAGGAAGAGGGGTTCCACCAGGACTAGAACTATGAGACAAGTTCCTTTAGCAAAGGAAAAACTTTCTTCTAAGATGTTTGAACCATCCCGAATGAGAAGCATTCAAACTCAAATTTACCATCTTCATAGTGACTTTGGCAGTTCTCTTCCATATATTTCCATGCTAGAATTTGCTGGATCATATACAGGAGCCTCACATTTTGCTAGTTTGAGAATTTTAAAATGATGTTCACATCACGTTTTCAAACTTGGTCAAACTTTTTGTTTTTTCCCTATTACCCTTCTGTTTCACAGGTTTACTTAATTTCCAGGTGTGGTGTGGGAGGGGCAATAATCAGATTTAATGTCCCTTGAGCCCTTTTATGCTAGGGGGGGCTTCAGTAACAAACTATTCCAGAAAACTTTACACATTAGCACATGTGCCTAATTGCCCCAGTAAGATGCAAGGGTAATGAACGTTTCCATATGGCCTCGATTTTTTTAAAATGCCACATCAGTGTTTGAAAGTAACTTGTATTTAAGTAATTGCAAGGCATTTTGAATAGATTTTCTAACAAGCAGATGTGGACACATGCTCACTTCACAAGTGTTCTCAAGATGAGAAATGGACTAGAGGGACCACTGACGAAGCTAATGCCCTGTGCGGGAAGCCAGTCAGCTGGCAGCACTGCATTCATTCTGACTTCATGTCTTCTGCATCTTACCATAGGATTTTTTTTAAAAAAATTTACATTTTAAAAACGTTGTCACAAACTCTCACTATTACTTCTGATTTTCAAAAGAATTGAGTACTTCCTTCAACTGGCAACAATAATCTATAACATGTTAAGCCTGGCCCCTCTCTCTTCAAGGACCTAAAATCTAGTTGGGAAGAAAAAGGTTAGGGAAAAACAAAACAAACAAACAAACAAACAAACAAACAAAAAAACAAGAAGTACTTGGATTTTAATACTGAGTTTTAAAAAATAATTCAAAAGTTTATTTTTTAAAGGGTGCAATAGTTCCTTTCTTGCATTTTCAAACTTGTCTTTCTGTTTATTCCCATACCCACTATGTAGGTCTGACCTTGCCTTTTGTTTCTGTCTATCCTTACGTGGAGCCTTGCCTCCTTGTTTTTTTTTTAATATATATTTTTTTTAGTTGTCAATGGACTTAATTTTATTTATATGCAGTTCTGAGAATCGAACCCAGTGCCTCACACATGCTAGGCAAGCACTCTACCACTGAGCCACAACCCCAGCCCTGTTTTGTGTTTTTGATTATGAGCATCTGTTCTTGAAATTTCATGTGGGGGATTTCTTTGGAGCCTAGGTTCAAGATACTCCTTCAGAATGGATTTGTCTGTTTCTGACATTTGCTTAGAGGGCCATAAACTGAGACTCGTAAAGTTTATTCAATAATCCCATGGTATCATGAATTTGGGTCAAAATTTTATATGAAGACCACTTCATAGTCATGAATTATCAAAGAATATCTTTTTTATATTCTTCATCCCACATAAGCATCAAGAGAGGTGAATTTTTCTGTGATCCTCTTCAGCAAAGCAAGTTAATTTTATTTTCATCTTGACCTTGGCCCTTTAGAGTACCAGTTTTATGGGAAAGTTGTTATTCTTCTGATCTGAGAGATGCCTGAGGATATATCTTATGTCTCTTAGATCCTGCACACTGGTCAAAGTGGACACTCAAGGACACAGTTGTTTGAAAGATGTTTTAGGAGCTTGTTCACTATCCAGGAGTTCCACCTTAGTTTTGTTTTTGGTCTGTAATTTTCTTGTTTTCTTGCTAGCTCAATGACTGATTTTTAAAAATTAAAAAAGTTTTATCCAGCTTTAGTTTTTGTGTGTGCATTTTTATGTGTTTCTTTTTCTCTTCTTTTTCTGTTTATCAGATTTAGTTTCATCAAGTTTGTATTTGCAAAAGCACATACTTACTCCACTGTATTCAACTCAAGTACTTTAAAACCAAGTATATTAGTCAGCTATTTTGCTGCTCTGACTAAGGACCCGATCAGAACAACCGTAGAGGAGGAAAAAGTTTATTTGAGGGTTCATGATTAAGAGGTTTCAATCCATAGACAGCAGACTCCATTCCTTAGGGCTCCAGGTGAGGCAAAACATCATGGTGGAAGAGTGTGGTGGAGGGAAGCAGCACACATGATGATCAGAGAGAGGTCTCCACTTGCTAGATACAAATATATACCCCCAAGCCATGCCCCAATTCCCACAGCCTCCTGCCACACCCTACCACTTCAGTTACCACTCAGTTAATCCTTATCAGGGGATTGATTCACTGATTGGGTTAAGACTCTTACAACCTAATCATTTTTCCATGGAACCTTCTTGCATTGTCTTACATGTGAGCTTTTGGGAGACACCACATCTAAACCATAACATCAAGGTTAAATAATGCATAATCAATTGGTAAAAGAAGTCAAGTGCTTCTGTTGTCCCTTCACTTTATTTTTCTTTTTGTTACTGGGGATTTGACCCAAGGGTACTTTACCACTGTACCACATTCTCAGCCCTTTTTTTAAAAAAAAAGAAAGAAAGATAAGAAATCTGAGAAAGGGCCTCCTATGTTGCTGAGGCTGGCTTTGAATTTGCAATCCTGCCTTAGCCTCTTGTGTTGCTGGAATTACAGGTGTGTGCCACTATGCCCCATTGTTGTCCTTCCCTTTCTATTTGAATAGACCCCTATATCAGTGGTTTATTCAAAACAAATCTTCCTCAGAATGTAAGATAGTAGCTCAGTGGAGTAGGGGTAAGGGTATGCTGGTTAACTGTCCCCAAGAATGAAGAAACAGGAAAGCATAAAGAAAGGCAGGAGGGCTGGAGCTGTGGCTCAGCGGTAGAGTACTTGCCTAGCACATTCAAGGCCCTGGGTTTGATCCTTAGCACCACGTAAAAATAAATAAAGTAAAGGTAGTGTGTCCACCTGCAACTAACTAACTAACTAAATATTTAAAGAAAGGCAGGAGCCAGCTTAGTAGAGCACACCTATAATCCTGAGTTAGAAGGATCAAAGCTGCCTCAGCAACGGCAATGTGCTAAGCAACTCAGAGAGATCCTGTCTCTAAAACAGGGTTGGGGATGTGGCTCAGTGGTTGAATGCTCCTGAGTTCAATCCCCAGTAACCCTCACCCTGTCGCCACCCCACCCCACCCCCCAAAAAAAAAGAAAAGAAAAGAAAGAAAGAAAGGCAGGCAAATTTAGTTGTTAGCATTGGCCACTTTCTGTGGAATAAATATGCCCATAATACTCTACTGCAAACTACAAGGGATGAGAAAAGTTGCCTCTCATGAACTGGATAGACCTCCAACATGCCACTGAAGAGTAGAAGGTACAAGTTAGGGTGGCTAAGTCAAATAAACACCCAGAGATCAGGCAGGAGGCATAAATGAGGGAAGAGGGCCTGATGATGTAGAGGTGAAGTGAAGAGCTCATTTGTTCCTCATTTTTAGTAGGAACAAATCAGCCAGAGCTGAGGGCAGACACTGGAGTATGAGTCAGAGAGGGCCCCTATCTCAGTGGTCTCTACAGTCTGTGCCTCTGATTCCTTTAGCAATTGAAAATATGTCAGTGTCAGACCCTACCTTCAGAAATGCTAATTCAGTTGGTTCAACATAGCTCTTGGGCAGCACTATTTTTAAAAGGTTCCTTAATTCAGTACTATTCTAATCCTAAATGCTTTAGATCCATAATCTCATTTAACCCAATTCTTCCAACAATCCTAGAAGGCCTAAGTCTCATTTTATGGGTGAGGAACTGGGACTCAATGGTTAAATAACACTTCCAAGGTCACATAGCTGGTAAGTGGGGGAATCTGACATAACCTTAGAATCTGTTCTTACTCCCCATGTCACTGAACCTACCTCACAAGGCCTCTGTGAGGCTTAAATGATGCAAGTCTTAAAGTGCTCCATTCAGGGTCTGAAACATATTAGGGGACAAACAAAGGTTAACTATCATCATAACCTTATAATACCAAAACAAAATTCTTACCAATTTCTTGTCTACCCAGTTCAATTTCAGGTAAACATTCACATTTTGGGGTTCACTTACTTCTTCTGTTCCCCCTCCCCCCAAATATACAAACACTCTGTCCAAATGAACCACAGCAGTCATCCTTACAACCTGGATAGACTTTCCAGGGCTTGTCATGCTTGACGTCTTCAAAGAGGAAGAGAGAGGACCAGAGTTCCAGACTTTCTTGGAGAGGGTGGTGATGAAACTTGCCTGGAATGACACCCCAAAGGACAAGCCAAAGCTCACTCTGTACTTTGGTACACGGTGTTCAACAAAGAAGTTTTCCATGTGATTGGTCTGTAGAGGAGACAGGAAACAGAAAAATAGACTGATGAGCATGTATAGATTGGGGAGGAGCAGTAGACCTGCGTGTTAAGGATCCTCATTTCTTTCCAGCTGGTCACAATCTATTGATATAGACACAGGAGCCACTTCAAGGAGAAACTGAGCAGTGTACTTGGTCCTTAATATTTGGGCTTTGGAGTCAGAGGGAGGCCCCTACTGGCTTAGATGCAAGGCGAACTGACTGGGCTGGCACACAGGTGCTGAGTTGCAATCTCTCAGAGGGAGAACCCCAGCATCTTTCACTACCAACCACCCTCACAACTAAAGGTAAAGGTTCTCAGTTTTATCTGGTGAAAGTTTTGAATACCTCCAGTGACTGAATTTACAAAGTGCAGCAAACCACTGCCACCTTAAATCATTTTGCAGAAATAAATAGGATATAAAATTGTTTAGAAGGGAAAGTTTTGACCAAAAATTCTACCTAAAAGGTAATGCTAGCATTCTTTCTCAATAACCATAACTTACTGAACTTTCATATAATAATAAAGTTTAGAGACTAAGAAAGGTGGGAAGAAATAGAAAAAGACCGGTGAGGCCTACAAAGGGAAGGCAAAGGTCAAAAATTTAAGGCTAAAAGGGAAAAATCTGAGATTCAATCTCTGTGTTCTCAGTTTACCCATAGGGATAAATTACCAGGGTAAATTCTTTGGGTGACATGCACAACTAGCAAAGCTAAATATTTATAGTCACTGCCATCTTAAGTTTTTTGATCAATTCATTTGATGCTTAACCAACACTATATGAATGTCTTCTTGATTTGTTCTAAGCTGCTTTCAAACTCTTAAAATATTTAACTTTAAAGTATTTCTTATGTCTGTGCGGTAAATGGCTTTATTATGTGCCTGTCCCCCATTCCTCACTCTGAGGGTCACAATGTTCTTAGTGCATCCACTGACTCTTTAACACACACACACACCCTTTCTGGAATGCCCTTGGGATATGCATTCTGTAAATGAACACTCAACATGTTTATAGTGAAAAATCTAATGGCTGAGAGCCCAGCCAGTGTAAACACATTCTTTCTACTTCTGCAGATCTGCACTATAATGACAAAGGATTGCTTAGATTTATAGAGGAACAAGAGTGGATTTCTTTTTTTAATAATAGCATCCTGAATTTAAAACCATCAAGTGAAAATTCTTTGGATTTTTCACTGCATGCAAAGACTGGGTGATCTAGCCTCCTGGTATTTAATGTAAAGCTGAACATCAGACTCTGGGTAATAAGCTTTTAGCACTGGCACCTGAAGCTGTGTTGTGGTCATACACCACCGTCTACACTGCCAGGCTGTGAATCAAATTTAAACTCAGGGATTCTCAGGCCCATAAGGAGAGAAGAGCATCCTCAGGCGAAGGAGCAATCCCAGGAAGCACAGGGTTCCCTTCCCCTAAACTTCCCTTTCCAGAAACAACCCGAAGTAGAAGCCTATATGTATACAGGCAGAGCCCTACGTCTCCAGACCTGCACACGTGGACTGAGGATGGATATTTGGAGCAAGGGAGCTAGGGCACAGACCACGCAGGGTGCTGAGAGTCCACCTTGCGGCCAAGATGTGTGTGCCACTGAGTGTGTACGTGGTAATTTCTGGGCCACCGCAGCGAGGCCCGGCCAGGCGCGGCTTCCAGAGCAAGGACAAACTGGCGGCTTTATTCCTTCAGTGCCGAAGCAGATGGCGAACTAGGGAGAAAAGAGGCCGCGTGCGGCGACTACCACCTGCCGATTCCGTGGCGGCTCGCGCAGAGCCCGAAACTAGCAGTCAGGCTCCCGGTCCGGGTCTGCCGGGTACGCAGACAGCGCGCCTTAGGGACAGCCTTACCGCCTCTGCAGTAGTGCTAGGAGAGGCCGCCACGCTGGCCCCGCCGCGTCCCCCAGCCAACGCCGGCTGCCCCAAGCGCCCGCCACTCTGCAGCGCAGCCAGCCCCACATTCTATTTAAAAATAACACCCACGTGCGCTGGTAAACAAGCGCGCGCGGCCTCCCCGGCCGCGCGCCCTGGGTGAACAGGTACGGAGCGCGCACCCCTCCTCCCGCACGTGTCTTCTGGCTCCGCCCCCCAGCGCCGGTAATACCTCGTCCCCGCCCCCTCAGCCGGCCTGGCCCCGCCTCCAGCCCGGAGCCCGCTGCCCCCGGGCCCTAGCGCCGAGCGTGCACGGAACGCTAAGTTTCCTCCTCCGACTGTTGCTCACCGCAGCGGGACCTGCCTTCCCAGGTCTGCCCCCTCCTTTCCTCTCCGGTTCTCCCTCGTCCCTCCTTTTAATCCTCCTGCCGTCCGCACGCGAAGGACTCCTTCTGGAGCGCCCTCTTTCTCTCCTCCTTCCCCTCCTTCCTCCTTTCGAATTTTACTCGATTGTTTATTATTTGCTGGGGGGGGCGGAGGTTGGGGGCGGAGAGGGGCGTCTGGGGCCTGGAGACTGGTGCCTGTAGCCAGTCAGCGCACAGCGTGGCTTGACGAGTAAGCGGCGCAGCGAATGAAGACGCGGCGCAGAGCTCCGGGGTCACGCGCGTGTGGAGACAATGACATCATCTGTTTGTACGCGTCGAACTAGCTTGGTGCAGGGGCGGGGCCTCGCGTCATTTGAGTGGCAGGCCTTGGGCAAAGCCCGGAGCCCGGAGTCAGCTTGGTGGGCGGACTCCTGCTTACGCTGTGCTGCTGGGTCTTTTTGTGTATAGGGCAATGTTGCGGAGCCCGCTCCTAGACTCTGGAATATCTCCAATGACTTAGGTTTTATTTTAAAGAGTATTTATGAACCAAAGTGGCTAGACTTTTGGTGTACATATTGCATGTAGTACATTCTATAGGATACTAATGAATGATTTGGAGCACGCATCCTAAGGACTAGCGAAGATGATTTTTTTTTAAACCTAAAGGCACATTTCTTTAAAAAGTCAGAAATGCAGTTAACTGTTTTTGGTGTCATTTTTACAGATTAGAATAAAATTGTTTCCCACTTTAAATTGTGCGGTATCTGGTCTTGCGTTTAGGACTGAGGAATAAAGTGCTTGTACTAAGTTACTCTTCTCCCTTGTTTGCCAAGAAATCCATAAAAAGTGAAAAACGATTGTGGTCTAGTGTCCAAGGTAAGGGGACTCAGTGCACACCTTTTGGTGCTTAATCAAATCTGAGGGAATCAGCTTATCGAAGTCTTGCAGGCACCAACATCTTGGCGGGTTAGTATTTCCACGCCTAGGTAACCCTTGCCATCTGTGATCAGCATCTTATCTAAGGTGTTACTAGTGTCGGGTTCTAAAGGAGAATCGGATACTAGGGGGTGATCACAGCCTGGTGGGCGGACGCGCAGGCCGGGGACCCCAGATGCCCGAACGGGGCGCCCAGAGTCTGGGAGGCCGCGTTACGGCGCTCAGAGGAGGGTTTGGGGATCTGGGTCTCTCCCTCTCCCCTACCAGCGCTGTGCTTTGTTGTCCGTGAGGCTCCTGGAGGGAGGAGGAGCCCGGCGGGGACTGCTGCTGGAGCCCGCCGAGTTCTGGCCGGCTGCGCGCGCCCTGACACCCACGCCCGCAGCCCCGCGGAGCCTGGCCGCGCAGGCGCGCGCGAGCACACACGCGCACTCACACACGCACGCACACCAGCACACTTGGGCCCCCGCCCCAACCCTCCCCCTGGGCGGGGATCCGCCCGCCCGCTCGCCGTCATTCTAGGTTGAGGCTCCCTGCGTGTGTCTATAACTTTGTGCTGCTGCCGCGGCCGCCCTGCTCGTGGAAGGGAGGAGGAGGAATGTGGAAGGCGGCGGCGCGCAGGCTGACAGGCGGTTCCTTGGGCGGGCTGCAGCGGTGGCCCGAGCGCCTCTCCTTCTCCAGGGTTTCACGTCCTCTCCTCGCCTGGCCCCGGACCTGCGCGGGATTGTGCGTCCTCCCGCCTCGTCCCTGAAAGGGAAGGAACCGAGGTAGGCGCCGGAGCTGTGCAGCGGGGCGGCCGCCTTCCCGGTGACTCCGGATCTGCTTCCGAGCTGGGCCAGGCTCTTCCCTTTTCCCTCCCCGTGACTCGGTGTGCGCGCCCCCCTTCTCTCCCGCTAGTGTTTTTAAAGGACTTGAGGGAAGGGGGAAACTGTCAAGATGGCAGCAGCGGGAGCGAGGAGGTGATGAACGTGCTGGTCCGGGTTTTCTGGCAGCCCGGGAGACTTGGCACTTCCCGACCTGTTGGAAGATTTATGTTCCGTCTTGCTCCCTCCTTCCGACCCTGACTGGGAAGGGGGCGGAGGACACCACGTCCGCGAGAAAATAAACCACACAAACCCTCCGAAGTAGCCGTTCAAACAGGGCTCGACCCTTTGCGAACACCCGCCGGCTGCTTGCCCCCTTCTTTCGCCTTTCTTTTTTTGGAAGTGACAAGGGCCTGTTTGAACTCAGCCCTCTGTTCTCCTTCCCTTTCCTCAGCCCGCGGGCGAGGAGAGAAGGGAACTGCCCGCGCCATCCCGGTGCTTGGGCCACTCTGCTGGGAGGGGTTGGCAGGGGGATCGCGGAGGCGACAGGGCCGTGCAAGGGGAGAAGAGCCTAAGACGCCACGGACTTAGGCGGCTGCGCCGCGGGAGGTACTTGAGCGGGCTGGAGCGAAACATAAACAAACGCACGCCCGCACGCCTGCCTGCCTGCCTGCCTGGGCTCGGGCTCCGACCGCGGTTCGGCTGCGCCAGCTCCGGCCGCTGCCCACTTTAAAGGCGCGGCCCGGCCTCCCCCCCTCCACCCCGCCTCTCCCCTCCCCCTTTCTCCCCGCCCAGCCACCTAGCCCAGGAGAGACCTGCAGATCTGGCGGCGGGGGAGGGGGCTGCCCCGTGCGAGGCCGTCGATTCGCTCACAGCTCCCCAGCGGCCTGGCCAGGGGGCGGCGTCTGCTGCGCCAGGTTCGCGGGACGCACGTCCCCAGGTCTGCTTGTTCCTGGGAGGCAGGCGCGGTGAGGTCGTGAAGCCGCGGCAGCGGCGGGCGAGGACTCGCCAAGACTGGGCTCCCGCCCGGGATAACCAACTCTCCTTCTTTTTCCTTTCGCGGTTCCTTAGGCGGCGGCAGCAGCGGTGCCCGGGAGCCGGAGCCTTCGCGGCGCCTCCGTCCCTCCCCCGCCGCACCCCGCCCGGGCGTGAGAGGAGAGCGCGAGAGTCCTAGCCGCCGGCAGGCGGGCGGGCAGGCGGCGAAGATGGCAGAGGCACCGGCCTCCCCGGTCCCGCTCTCTCCGCTGGAAGTAGAACTGGACCCGGAGTTCGAGCCCCAGAGCCGGCCGCGCTCCTGTACGTGGCCCCTGCAGAGGCCAGAGCTCCAGGCGAGCCCGGCCAAGCCCTCGGGGGAGACGGCCGCCGACTCCATGATCCCTGAGGAAGACGACGATGAAGACGACGAAGACAGCGGTGGCCGGGCCAGCTCGGCTATGGCGATCGGCGGCGGCAGCGGGAGCGGCACGCTGGCCTCAGGGCTGCTCCTTGAGGATTCGGCCATACTGCTGGCTCCCGGAGGGCAGGACCTCGGGTCCGGGCCAGCTCCCGCGGCGGGCACGCTGAGCGGGGGGACGCAGACGCCGCTGCAGCCTCAGCAGCAACTGCCACCGCCGCAGCCGGGGACGGCGGGGGGCTCTGGGCAGCCCAGGAAATGCTCCTCACGGCGGAACGCCTGGGGGAACCTGTCCTACGCCGACTTGATCACCCGTGCCATCGAGAGCTCCCCGGACAAACGGCTCACTTTGTCCCAGATCTACGAGTGGATGGTGCGCTGTGTGCCCTATTTCAAGGATAAGGGCGATAGCAACAGCTCAGCTGGCTGGAAGGTGCGTACTCACCAGGGGCTGGCAGCCGGACCGCCGGGCCTCCTGCGCAGCGCCGGACGCGCCTCGAATCCGTCGGACGCAGCGCGCCTAAGGGCGCTGGGGAGAGGGTTGGTAGGGAAGCCTCTGTTGTGAGGCTTTGGAGGGTTCTGTTTGACCTCTGGAGCAGGGGAACCTGGGGATAGCCTCAGAGAGGGAAGGAGTCTCCCTGGGAAGCCTCGGGCGAGACCAGGTGAGGAGGTGGGGGGCAAGGTTCACTGACAAGGGAAGGAAGGATGGGCTGGAGTGCATTAGCTGGATTGTCGGGACAGCGGCGAGGAGGTAGGTCCGCGGCCAACTTTGGAATAGAGTTTACTGTAGGTGGTTGCAGCGAGGACACCGTGGGTGGAGTGAAGGGGTGTGTGTGGGGGGGGGTGGGAGGAAAGAGATTTTCATTTGGTCGCAGGAGCTGAATGAGAACCTTGGAGTCCCAAGTTTCGGACTGTGGGTGTTAACTCCCACAGGCATATCCATTCCCTTAAAAAACAAACAAACAAACAAACAAAACCAATGATTGCAAACCTTTTTCCGGCCGGCTCCCTTTTCTTGCCTATGCTGACACCTTTACTCTTAAGAGGTATCTGTCACTTCACTCTGCTTGCCCCCGCGGAGCCTCTGAAATGTTCTGGGACCTGGAACAGATCAGCCTCGCCACCTGAACGTGAACTGGCCGCACCTGCTGCTTCGGACAAGGCCTGGACTTTGGCACTATTCGAGGCAGGTGTGGGCCTGCGTTTTACTGTTCTGTTGAGAGGGAGGTTAGATGGCAGGGCTGAGCCTTAATGGCTTCTTCCTATATATGAACCTGAAGAGAGGTTCTCTACAGTTCCTTTTCAGCCTCTTGAGGCATCGGACTGACTCCTGTTAGAGAGAGAGGTGTGGAAAGGCCTATGATGTAATGACTTCCTGCAGTTGGGCATCCGAAGAGATTAACTCCTCTGGCCTTGCTGAGCTGCTGACATCCAGCGCTGTGCTCTTACTGGGCACATTCCTGCCCTCTTTCCCTAAGATAGGAATGTGTCAGAACCAGGAAAAACGGAGTCCTCCGTGGTCATGGGTACACATCGCTTATTATAAGTCCCTCTTATTGGCAGTTTAGTTTGTTTTTAATGAAAGAAATCCTTGCTTCCCCTTTCTGTCCCTTCCTTTGTTTTTCATTGGGGGGAGCCCTGTGTCTTTTTGGGTTCCAGACTTCCCAGGTGTATAAAATAAGGACAGTTTAATAAAACTGAAGAACCGACTTGTAGCACCTGAGAGGAGTCTTAGTATGAAAAAGCTAAGGAATATAGGGTAGGGTGTATCTTAATTTGCTTTTAGGAAAATCTTGTTTAAGAAAAAAAGTGCCTTTATTTTCTTTAAACTGGTACTATTGGAGAGGTCTTGTTTAGATACTTTAAAGCAAAATGTGTGCTTTGATGTTATTCCACAAATCTGTCTCAAATGAGACAAATGCTGACATTATGAATCTTATATTTGATCTTATATTATTGCTTTACAAAGGAATGCCAGTTGTGTGATCTGAGAGTTGTTTACAGAAAGGATGAAAGTTCCATTTCAAAGTATTGCTAATGTGATAGCTTTTTAAAACTGGGATTTCCAAGTGGATGACAAGGGTTAAACTCAGGGTACAGTGTTGAAAGGAGTGAGTATATAGAACTTGAGAAGATGGATTTGGGGATTTGGATATTTTTCATATTTCTCACACTTGAAATTAAGTCCTCCATGTTTGAATTTGGTGCAGAGAATGTATTAGTTAAAAGTTGCCTTTTATGTTAAAAATTAATGCAAATAAGAAAATTTCCATTTTTCTATGTTTGTAAGATGACAAAACAACTTAATTTCACAAATAACATTTTTGCTATTGTGTTTATAAAGATAATAACAGTTTAATTTTATTTTTTTGAAGATTTATGTGAGATATTGTGTACTAAAAGTAGCCATGAAATGAGCTTGAGCTATATTCTCATATAGTCTGCAGGATTTAAGTAGAGATTTTGGGCTTACTTGTAAGTGGTTTTATGTCATAATAATTTGTGTGTGTGTGTGTGTGTGTGTGTGTGTGTGAGTGATGGTTTCTTTTTTCTTCCCTTGCTTTCTCATTTCTCTTCAATTAAAACCTTATGTACTGTAAATTGAAATTCTCAAGATTAATAAGTTTAATGTGGGCACACATTTATGGTTATTCTTACTTTAAAATATTTTTATCAGTTCCATTTCTGAATATCACATGGCAACTAATCCTTGAAGATAAAGGAGATATAAATTAGTTCCAGTTTTTGTAAGATGACCTTCATCGAAAGATGCAGCCATGCAGGAACTTCCCAATCTTTGATGATGGAGAAGGCCTTTGAAACTGGGGCTGGTTTCATAGTCTGATTATGACTAATAGCTAACCATTTTTATGTTTGTGGTTTAGTGGGGGTGGAAGAAGAGGGAAAAGGGAGAGGTCAGGAACTAATCGTGACCCATTTCACTGCGTCCAAGTTGAGGAGTTGATTCCTGTCATGATTAGTCATTTTGGAAGCATGCATGTGCATTTAAACCACACTACTTTCATTCTGAGTTATGCATTGGGATTTTTAACTTCTAAAAATGTCTAGAATTCAGGTTAACCTCTCTTAGTGCACACGGGGCATATAAGCCCGTGTAGACCTTCTTTTGTGGCTTTTTGGG